AGATCAAATAATGGTGTAACATTGTAACTAAAGTTATTGATGTTCTTATGTTGTATAAATGTCATTTTTCAAATTTTAGCTTACCCTTACATGTTTTCATGTCATTTGAATTGCGATAATCATATGTGGTATGGGGAGTAAGACATGATTGGTATGGAGTAGTGCAGCGGAGGCCACTTAGTGGTGCAGGAGATGGATGTTTCTTTTGGTGACTACCTTTAGGTGATTTTTGTATGATAAGTAGTAGTTGCTTGACCGACAACATAGTTGTATAATTATATTTATAAGATTATTGTATTTATATTGCACATAATTATTTAGTTGTTTCATCTTTATATTTATGCGATATACATATTCTAGTATATGTGATTATATAATCCTAAGTTAATTGTTTTTCTGCTACTTGTAATTGTGTTGTTTAGTATAAGGACCATGCTAGATCGTTATAAATAGTATATTTAAAAGTGACAGAGTGAGACAATTATATTGCATTAGTTATGTTTAATGTGATGTTTTTATCATCAGTGTCACTACTAAATAAATTTCATATGATAGTATTTAATAGATTTTTTAACAAAATTTGAACATAAATACTAAAACAAGATTTTTTTTTAAATTTCATGAACTAAAAAAATTAATTTTAAATTTAAAAGAGTTAAAAATAATTTTATGTTAAATTTAAAAGAAAAAACCATGTTTAAGCCTATTTTAAATCATTGCGAAGTTGTGAGATGCAAGGCTAGGAATCATCACAAAACAAAGTACATACTGTATTGTGGTAATGTGCAGAAGTCCATTTACACTGCTTGATGACGTTTCACACGCTATTTTGCAACGAGAATTTTTTATTTTTATTTTTACTTTATGTAAGAAATTTTTATGGTTAGAAATTTATTTCTTTCTATATTTAAAAATATTAAACATAATTTTATTTCTCTCAATATTTTTTTTTCTTCATACATATCAACATAATTAAAAACTAAACTATCTGCAGATTATTGTTATGCTTTTGCAATTTGTCGTTACTAAAAATATTAAAGTTAAAAGCAGGAAAGATGGTAGTAAAAGAGAGGGTCAACCTCAGATGGATCACAAAGTTCCATTAATTTGGGGACTGAGATGGAAGGGACCTATCCTTCTCATGGAACACATTGCTTGCTTGCTTTCCGCAAACTCTTCGAACTTCAAAAGCAGACCAATTATATCTGCTTTCTCAAGCGTGGAAGGAAGCACAAACAGTGCTCAACCCAATCACACTGTGACACATAAAAGTGCTCATGAGTAGTACTCATTAAAATTAATCGCAAAATTAAATTTAATTCGTTTATCACTAAATATCTTAAAAATAAAGTATAAAAGTGTAATCGTTAACTTAAAAATAAATACACAAAATTTATAAGTTATTATATATAATATTATCATAACTTCATCAATTATTTTTTAATTAACAACTATTATTTTACATTTTATCTTATAAAGTATTCTTCGATTTAGATAAAGCAAATTTTATAATATATATATATATATATATATATATATAATATTGTTATACATTTGAATTAATTTCTTAAATATTAATCATAAATTATGGTGGTTGATGTATACTTTTTTTTTGATAAATTTTTGTCCCATTGTTAATATAATTGTAATTTTAAGATGCAATATTATAAGAATTGTTTTATTTTTGAGTTTAGTTAGTTTTTTTATTTTATTTTAAGTGATTCAACCAATAATGTTTTAGTTATCAATTTTGTCCAATTCTTTTAGGTCAATGATTCCATCGCAGGTCAAATGCATAATCATCAAATTAAATGTCCATTTCAAGTAAAAAAATATACCGTAGTGATTGTGCTTATTAAAGCTGTGACACAAAATATGTAATTCACATTAAGATTGAAATTATTCATACTTGTTAAATTTATAACATTGAATATAATATTTGTTTTGAAAAGACATACTACCTTTAATGCTTTGACATAGTCAAATCGAATATTTTTCTTCTTCTTTTTCTTTAAATTTTTAGCATGTTTGATTATGATGGAGGTGAATCCAATAATAGACTATTAAATTATGTTATTTAACGATAGATTATATGAGTTTTGTAATTTGTTAAAAAGGTTCACTTGTGAGCTATGATTTTATACCGTTAGATTTATTATAAAATAACCTAACATTTTAGATTGAAGGGTAATATCTTTTTTAAATTTTTATATAAAAATTAGTTTTTTTATAAATATCTTTTTTGTCCCCTTATTCATCTATATCTGTTGTCATCACACAATACAAAATATCACTACACATAGAGCTGTCAAAGTGGGTTTAGTCCGGTGAGCTAATCTGGCCTACCACGAGTTCAAACCGGGTTGGGTCGAAAAAAAATTAAAAATTTCAGTACAAGCTAATTTTAAACCTGGTTCACTAACAACCCAGAATCCATAGTGAGCCAAACTAACTCATCAACCCGTAATTAAAAAAAAAAAAAGCAATAGTTATTAGGCCAATGTGTAGATGTAGCCCCACCCAACATGAAAATATAATATAGGGTTTCAATTTCAAGTTGAGAAATCAAAATAATTTCAATGCCTCTCACCCTCTTTCACATCGCACCGCACCATAGCTGCTACTGCAACTGCACTGCACCATAGTTGCCATCGCACCACAATTACGACACACCGCACCACAACTACCAAGCACCACTGCGCACGCTGCGAGCCATTGCGCGCACCGCGAGCCACCGCACACACCGTGAGCCAACGCGCGCATCGCAATCCACCGTGAGCATCACGAGCCATCGCGTGTCACCACCCCGAGCCACCTTGCACCTTGCAGATTAAGAGTTTCAGACTTTTAAAATAGGTTTGAGTTTTTTGGGCTTTAGTTGTATATTAAAAAAAAGAAAATAAAAAAATTTACATTTTTTTTTAAATTAAGTGAGCCAATCCGTTTAACCCACCAACCCGTAGTGGGTCGGGACATGTTCAATTTTTTTGAGCTCACTAATAAATGAGTCAGGTTGGGTTGACTCACCAAATGATCAACCCGTAATGAGCCGAGCCGGATTACCCTTTTTGACAGCTCTAACTGCACACCAGCACCAACTCAAGTCCACAATGAACAATATACTTGGGAGAGAAGAGGAAGGAGTTTTAGCTATGGAGAATGAGAATGAGAGTTGGAATATGAAATTATTGGTGATAACAACTTTTTTTTGACAACAACTCCACCAATAATTCTTTCCCTTCAATTTCATCAGTCACCTTCCAAGGTCATTGCCACCTCCTTCTTGAACATGAGTTCCTCACTGTGGTGGAGGCAATCGCTATTGTCTCTTTGAACGGATCAAAAAAAATTTGACGATGAAAACGCAACTTTGTATTTGGTAGTTTTTCTGATGTCTTCAACCTCGTATGGTAGATTGATTTTGAGCAGTTGTGTTTCAAATTTGCAAGTTATTATATGAGATTAAATTAAGAATGTAGATCTAGATCCGTAGGCTACTATGGATGACAAATCCACATTGTTTTGGCAACTTGAGGGAATCAAAGATGAAACCATGTTGGATTTGTACAACTACGTGGACGGTGAGCAAAAAGGAGGCAACAAAAGGGAGATGATATGAACATGAAGGGGAAAGGGACATCAGGGAGGAGAGCGTAGACAAATATTTTAACAAAGGGGTTAAATGTATTTTTATAAAAAAAATATATATATTTAAGCATAGTAACATTATTCATTTGTGCACGACTGAATCATATGAAATGTTTGTTCACCATAGCAATCGCCTATGCTATATATATCCTTATTTATATAATTTCATCTCGTTACATTTAGTTTACCTTTTAATGTTTGTTAATTTGTTGATATTACATAAGTAACTTATTAGGATCAATTTATTGGTAATAGAACATTACAAGAAATGTTATATACAATGACATAAAAAAAGTATCATTATAAGTACAATATATGTAGATATATATGTATTTAACACATAACTATACATAATTTTAGTGTCAATTTTAAATGAGATTTAACAACATATTTTGTATCACTATAACCTATACTCATACTTTTTAATAATATATAAACATATATTATATTTATTTTGTAGATAAAAATAATTTTTAATGACACATTGTGTTACAATAGGGTGTGTAATAGAATTGAAAATTTTGCAAGAGATCCTTAGTTCAAATCTCATTGTTGTCTTTATAAAAAAAAATCAAATCAAATCAACTAATAAGTATAAGTGATGAATCTCTAGGTAATGAAAATTCATGGTGTGTGTTTTGATGCATTATTTTAGAATTTTAAGGAATTTAAATGTTTAAAAATGTCATTTACTTCAAATTAAAATTTCTTCATTTTTTTTTGTTCGGATAAACTAGTCAAGTTTTTCATTTCTAAATTTTGTATTTGAATAGAGAAAGGAAAAAAGAAAGAGAGAAAAATGAGTGAAAAGTAGATAGAGAAGAAAGACATTGAATATATAAGAGATTTTTTTTCAAGGACAAATCAATTGTATTTATTATGTTGCGAGCGAATTTCCCTAAGCTTTTATTTTGTGATGGACATTTTTTTTTTCAAGGACAAATGCTCAGTTTTTCTTTTACTATCTAGACAAACCGTTTCTATTTATTTATATTAATTTTTCCTATTAGTTCAACAAAACCCTTTTTTATGGGTGAGAAGGGATTGCAATAATTAAAAGGTACGAGATTTAAGTTCAGTTCTTATTATGATTATTTTTTAATTTTTCTATCTTTATTGAAAAAAAAAAACCTTTTTTATAACCTCTCCAATCACTATCAGTGGTTCTATCGCAATTCATTATATCAAGCGTTTCCATGTAACAAAAATTGTTTTTTCTTCATGAAGCTTAAAAATTTCCTAATCCTACCCGCAGTTAAAAATTATTTGAACTTGTTGCCATCTTGAAATGACAAGCTATAACATTAAATGTTGGCAAATAAAAGAAAATTATAACTTCTACTCATCATAGCTAAATAAATACACAGGATAATAATTATTAATATTGAAAATGGTCTTTCATGATACAGGACAAGTTAAAGTTTCTCTAGTTTTCTCTATATATTTTTCACACAAAGAGGATCCATGACAACCCATATGTACCCTCCTAATCTACAAGTAGATATAGACCCATTATGACCTTCTAAAATAGACATTAAATCGGCATTCACAATAAGTTAACTCAGTAACAATTCTTAATTATGTTTAATAAAGGCGAAAATGAAAGCAAAATTTCATTATGAGTACAGGTATTAACTCTAAGGCACGTGGCAAAGTTTAATTGGTGAGATATATATAAGTAGCAAGTATTGTAATTTGTAGATGAAAGTGGCGAAAACATTGAAGGTAGTGTGCGTTGCAGAATGCGTCACGGAAGGGAATTGTATTTTATTTGGAGGTCGTCAGAAAGTAGTTGCAAGAACCACATATTCTGGTCATTCCACAAAGTCTCTAACGTGTCAGCCCCGTTGCCATGAGTCCCCTGTTCCAAGCCCATGTTATCGAAAGCCGTCCACATATGGTGAGGCGAATTGGAAGGAAGTTGGAGCTCCACGGACGATGAGTCCGAGTAAGAGGCAGTGGAGTGGTTGCTGGGGTTTCCAGTTGGGTTTGGGTCGAGTTGGTTGTGAGATGTGGGCTTAACCCGCTCCAGCAAGCGGGGCATCCACACGTAACGCAACGTGTCTCTGAACTGTTTGCTGTTCACATCGCACTTGAGCTGCTTCGCCTGTTTTATAACTCTTGTTCTCCAATAGTTTTTTATTTCGTTGTCAGTTCTTCCTGGCAAGTGCTGAGCAATCTTCGACCACCTATTCAAACATTCTATGCATCTTATATACATACATGTTACATCAAACATATGTAGAGTGAGTTTTACTTTTATACCTATTGCCCCAGCGAGAGTGAAGGTCCAGAATCAATATTTGTTCTTGGAGTGTGATATTTCCACGCCTCACATCGGGGCGCAAGTAGTTTAGCCACCTTAATCTGCAGCTTTTCCCACTCCTCCTTAGACCTGTGTATTTATTTAATTTTAATGAAATATCATATAATAAAATGAAATCATGATATATATATCAATATATCATGCTAGTATAGTAATAAGTTAATTAGAAGAAAGTGTAGATGCCTGCACATCGTGCGACGGAATTCCAGTGACCTTCGCCGTGGGTGGTGATGTAATTAACTAGAATGGTGTCCTCGTCAACGGTCCATGGACCTTTTCTGAGAGGCGAATCGATTTGATCATGCTGCGGGTGCAGTGGGGATGCAGCTTTCTTAACATCCATGAGTCTAATGTTGGTGTTTAATTTGGAAGAGAGAAGATGTGGATGTGGGTAGGTTATGTTGATGGATAGGTTCACTTATATATAATAGTAACAGAGTGGGATAAGAATAAGAGTAAGGAAGGAGTAGGGGTAGTAGGACACTCCAACGTTTCACTCCACGGAACCAAAAAGGACGCGGACCACACAGGGAAAATGCATCACATTTTCTTTCATTTTTAATTACTTATAATATATACTGCTGTTACTATTACTAATAATAATATAGTTAGTAGAATAATTTTAATAGTACTTATGCTATTGGCTTCCTGTTTGGGGTTTGACTAGTTGACTCTTCTTGCTTCATTATCCCTCCGAGTGACGCGCAAACAATTGGATTAGTGCAAAGGGATCTTGTGTCTGCTAAACATTTCACACTTTTATTCCTCCAACTAATAATACATATTCCTCCCCTTTTGTTTTTTTTCCTTTCTCTTCTTCAAACACCCAAAACTACTGCTTTTTTTTTTATATTCAAATAAATGTTAACAAGTGTTTTTAAATAGATTTAATGCAGTTATCAACTTTTAAGAAATTTTTAATTAAGTTTCTAAATTAAATAAAATTGTAATAAATCTTTTATTTTCTATTTTAGTCTGTGTGACTAGCTCTATGTTCAATATGTGAAATTTAACAAAATACTTTTTTATATTCTTGTACCTCATTAATTTTATTAATTTAATATTTCATGGAACCCTTTATGTCTATTAAATTTTAATTTATATCTAATAAAATTTTCGTTATTTTCTTAATCACTAATTTCCTAATTCTTAATTTTTAATTACTTAAATTTGCCTGGTCTCCGTAACCATGAACGTAACCCTTAAATTGTTTCCAAACCCTGAATTTGGTTGTCCCGCATATATTGAACATATAAAAAATATTTCGTCAAATAAATCATTAATTTCAAAGACTAAATTAATAAAATATTAAAAATGAATGACTGCATTACAATTTTCTTTATTTAAAAATCTAATTAAAAATTTTCAAAAATGTTGAGTATTAAACTTTTAAAATATTCATTAAAAATTCAAGTGAAGCTAATTTAATATGTTTATTAGATTAAAATGTTAAAATAATTTAAGATGAATTATTAAAGTGATTACAAAAACTAATGAAGTATATTCTGTATTAAGATTATTTTTATTACTTTGGAATAATGAATCTTAATGCATAATTATACTAAAATTACATTTTTTTAATCAATCATAATTTTAAGGTTAACTAAAAAGTCGTTCATTATTTTAAAGTTTACACTACAAAAATATTTATACTAACATTAAAGACTTCATCGATGCAACAGGCCAACAGCCAACAAGCATGATAGTTAAACATTAATATATAAAAAAAATGTAATAAAAACACACATTTAATTATATAACTTGATTATACCTCTTTTTAATATATAAAATCAATTTAATTACTTCAAAGAATAAAAAGATAATTAATTTAGATAACATTATTAAATTTATTGATAATTTATATAACTGTTTAAGTCATTCTTAATATTATTGAAATTTCATTCTCCTTAATTTATTTCTATCTAATTAATGAACATATATATACCTAAGGGTAGTTTTTTTTTTTTTTTTTAACATAAAAAGTATAATCAATACAATAGAAAATTTGAAATTAAATACATCTTATAATATATACAATATATATATATATATATATATATATTATAAAAATTCCAAAATAAAGTTATTATAAAAAAATATATCAACATACCATTATTTTGAATAAAATTAAATTCAAGTTTATTCAGTAAAGTTATAAATTTTAATTTTATGGATGAAAAAACATATGATTAGAAGAAAAAAAAACATCTTACTAAATACAATATATAGTAAAAAAATTTATAAAAATTAATGATGGATATATTATTATTATTTTAGTATTATTTTATATCACTTATATCGATATATATTATTAATATTTTATTATTATTTTATATCACTTACTATTAAAATAATTGTGTTAGAAAACATTGTGCGGCATTCCCGTGTTGATATATAAGAAGCAAGGCACGTGGCTGCAATTCCTTTGGCCTTAAAAATATCTGCATCGGTCTTCCAGCTTGAATTTTGTCTAATCAATAATCATAATTTTTAATAATAAAAAATCAATTATTATATTGACAGTTGGTTTAGTTTCACATTTTATGTGCTGGTGTGTGTTGAATGCTGTTGCTTTCACGTCTTTTTCATTCTCTAACACGTGCTATCCACACTGTTCCAATCAATTTTAAGGAATTCTTCAATTATGTAGGCTATACCGGATGGAAAATTACTAACATATATTCATTTTCTCTTTCATTATGCTTTCACCCCAATTTTATTTTTATCCATTTATTTCTATCACATTACCTATCATTTTTATTATTATTATTATTTCCACTGGTTTTTTATTTCTTTTCTTTTTCTATCCCTCTTAGTTCACCTTTAAAATAGAATGTAGGATTATCATTAGTCATTCGGTATCAATAAATGACATGTAATCTTATCTATCCTATCCATATTAATCATATATATGTTTAGTTTTATAATCATAATTTTAAAAATCGAATTAGTTATTAGGTATTGAATTAGTGGATTAAAGATTGAATCTATGGGTCACTAATTGAATCATATGACCTAATTTTTATTAATTTTTTAAAAAATAACTATCTTAAATATATTGTATACTTATAAATTTTAATAAATTCATATCCTATTTTAAATTTCAATTTCTATCTTATTTAAAATTATTTTTTTTTATTTTGTATAAAGAAATATATATAAAAAAATTACATGTTAAACTGTATATTAATAAAAATTAAAAATATAAATAATATGCATGTATATAATATACGTGCAATTGATATTACAAAATAATATATATAATATCTACATAGATATTATATTATTAAATATATAATTTAAAATTAATAATATACTATAAAAGTTATTTAAGTTACATATATTACAAACAAATACATTAGAACAAATGATCATCTTTATGTTTGATAAGACTCTTTACTCTTCCATGAGCATGATTCAATTTCATATTTTTCAATTTTCTTTTTGTAAAATTATTTTTTAAATGATAATTGTAAAATTTATTTTTAACTTCAGTCTTTCTTTAATTTATAAGCTTTTTAAATGTCTTGTTAATCACATTTATTAATTTTTAATTTTGTCTTTTAAGTGTAAACAATATTATCTCACCTTGATCACTAATTTTTTTTTATTGGTGTTCTAGTCTCAAAAACGTACTAGAGATAATTTAGCAATCATCCTAAGTCAGAATATTCAAAAGGTGTATGCTCTTCTTTTTGAGCTCGAGACCCCTATTTGTACTGAAATTATATTCTAGAAGTAAATCTTGTATTCGTTAATGTGACTCTGTAAAGCATAAAAAAGTTATTTATTACCATTAATAATCTCACAAATCATACTATTACGACTTTTATCTAACAATTTTTGTCATTTTGACTATAGGGAAGCAGTCAACCATCAAGCAAGTCCTATTCTAATAGTGACATAAGTGGTTTAATTGTTGCATCCATGTCAATTGAAGTTCTTGTCAATAAAACGGTCAAGTAAAGGACTTGACGAAACACAATCCTCCAAACTTGAGTGTCAAAAGTGTAGAAAGTCTAAGTGATTGACCTACTTAGTTGCTCAAAAGTCCAAACGATACAAACCCTCTATGCTTAAGTGTCAAAAGTGTGAAGAGTCTAAGTGTTTGATCTACTCGGATAGTCAAAAGTTCCAACAACACACAACTCCAAGCTCGAGTGCCAAAAGCCGCAAAGAGTCTAAGTGCTCTGCCTACTTGATCGATCAAAGCCCCAAACAATACAACATTGTCACTATTATGAGGTTGCAAATGTCATATGGTGAGTCAACTCTGGTTGCTATGACGGAAGTGTAGGGAGTTGTTTATGTTTAATGATTTAGAAAGACTTAGTGGTTGGTTGTCAGGCTATATTAGTGATGATATTATGTTGTATTTATCACATGGTGTAGTCATCTTATATTTATGATTTGACGAAAATTTTGCTAAGTGAGGTGATAAATCACACTTGTTGATATATGCCCAAACTTTAATAAATTCTTGAATGTTCGAGTAATTTTTTTGGTATAATATCTTATAGTCTAGCGGTTGATTCAAGTCATGCCTAGTCCTTATCTTCCTCGCTTGTTGGTGTACAACCAATTCAATTGCGTTTGTCGATATACAACCGATTCAAGTCACTTTTCGTCCTTGTTTTTTGCACTTGAAGGTGTACGGTTGATTCAAGTCATGCAATGTTTGTTGATGTATGACTAATTCAATTCATGTGTCATTATCGTCTTTCACACATGTTGATATACAACCGATTCAGGTCACGTTGCACTTGTCAATGTACGATCAATTTAAATAATGATTTTTTGTTGTCGTTCGTGCGTGTCAATGTACAATTAATTTAAATAACATTTTTTTTGTTGTTGTTCGTGCGTGTTAGTGTATGATCAATTCGGGTTAGGCAATATGTCATTTATTTTTTGTTATGTTGAATGTCATCATATTAGTCCTTAAATTAAATTTTTGTGATATTATTGTCTAAGTTAAGTTAATAAAAAAATTATTTAATTAATTATTGTTTCTGTATGAAAAACGTACTAGGGTTAACCTAGTCAAATCTCTAAAGATAGAACATTCAAAAGTGTAATTTGTTTGTCCTTTCTTTAGGGTTAGGTTTTTATACTTGACTATCATAAGTTTATGAACTCCGAGAATTTCATAATTTCATATGATAGTTACTTATCATTAGATATCATATATTAGTATGTGATATTGATTGTTAAAGATAAGATTATAGACTAGATTATCCAAGGTTGGACTAATTTCGACTTCCTTTAAACATGATCAGTTAATCATATATTAAATGAGAGATCAGATTAATCTTATCAACTTTTTATTCCTAACTTAATTATCTATTAGTCGATCAGGTCAGTTTGAATCCGACTCAAATTAAGAATAAGATAATTTGCCACTTATTTCATCTCCCTAATTCTAGGGGTTCATATTGAAATATATTTGAAATGATACACTTGTTCACTAGTTCTAAATTTAAAAAGTATAAGATTTATGACGAATTAGATAGACGATATTAGTAGTATCCTATCGGAATATATACATAGAGGTACAATT